CTAGTTAGTGGTTCGGCTGCTGGACCTGCCACTTGTTAGTTTTGTGTGTTGTTTTTGGTGAGAGTTTAACGGCAACTGCGTAAGGTCATAATCTGAGCGCGCGGGAAACATGAAACATTTTCAGTTGGTAGGACATTTTGAATTTTGTCCCGGTGGCCTACTCTTATTTGATTTGAGACCACCAAGATATCCTTAACATGCACAACTTGCCAACGGGGCCTCCGAGATTTTTCGCCATTGTCCGAGAAAGTAGCAGTAGAAAGGCTGCAGAAAGAGTCAGGAGCCTAGGGGAGGGGGCAAAGGAGGTGAGGGGGAGGGGCAGAAAGTGGAGACGAAAGCAGACAACTAGATAGCTAGAGAGCAGGAAAGAGGGTGATAGGAGACAATCTTAGAGAAGAAACTTTACCGTAGCTACCCGGTTTCGAACCCGGTACCTTTCAAGGAGAGGCGAACACCTTAACCTCTAGGCAACGAGAGCCCCCTGTGGTTTGGCTACCGGACTCGTAATCGTGAGGTTGTGGGGTCGGGGGTTCGAGCCGCGGGCCCGACGTTGTGTCCTTGGGAAAGACACTTTGTGCTATTATTGCCTACACTCACGCCTATCTGACACACAAGTGCGGCAAGAATCTGTGCAGACAGAGAACGAGATACAAGTAATTACAAGGGGGGCTCTCGTGGCCTAGAGGTTAAGGTGTTGGCCTCTCATTCAAATGGTCCCGGGTTCGAATCCGGGTAGCGACAGAAACAACAGAGGGAAAGTAAAGAAATATGATCTACCGGTGACACCCTCCAACCTCTCGCACAAATACACAAAATTGGCAGGCAACAACTTACACGCCAAGAAATGCGCAAATTTGTGTTTCTCATTCGTGTCTGGTTGTTTGCAAGGTGGTGTAGGTTTGTAGCTGGTCGTACATGTGTGAGGCACATGTGTACATGTGTGAGGCACATTCGTACATGTGTGAGGCACATTCGTACATGTGTGAGGCACATTCGTACATGTGTGAGGCACATTCGTACATGTGTGAGGCACATTCGTACATGTGTGAGGCACATGTGTACATGTGTGAGGCACATTCGTACATGTGTGAGGCACATTCGTACATGTGTGAGGCACATTCGTACATGTGTGAGGCACATTCGTACATGTGTGAGGCACATGTGTACATGTGTGAGGCACATGTGTACATGTGTGAGGCACATGTGTACATGTGTGAGGCACATGTGTACATGTGTGAGGCACATTCGTACATGTGTGAGGCACATTCGTACATGTGTGAGGCACATGTGTACATGTGTGAGGCACATGTGTACATGTGTGAGGCACATGTGTACATGTGTGAGGCACATTCGTACATGTGTGAGGCACATTCGTACATGTGTGAGGCACATTCGTACATGTGTGAGGCACATGTGTACATGTGTGAGGCACATTCGTA